CGTTTTGTAGCTGGGCCCAAGCAGGGCTGCAGCAATGGCCTGTTTTTAACAAATGCACTTCAGCGTCTCTTTCACAGGCTGACAGAGGCAACAGCAGACAGACACAGACGGGGGACACGGCTGTAAGGGACCAGAGCAGCGGGAAGACAGCAGCACACCTTGGCAGCGCCTCAGGGACACCGCCCACCTGCAGAGCTGGCTTTTGGTTCAAAACAGCCCTGACTGCAGAAACGCTGCTTCTGCTCCCTGCTTCCCCTCGCAAAGTGACTTCAGATTCAGGTAAACGCAAGCAAACTGTGCCACTCCTTGCAGCGAGGGGGTCTCAGTTCCCTCTTCCCAGTCTCGCCCCACATACCCACTCCTTGCTCCGGCTGTGCGTGGTGAAGTCGTAGACGGGCACTTTGACACTTTTGCCCTCCTTGAGCTTCCGTAAGACGCTGATCAGCAGGTCAAAGTCAAAGGCATCGGGGTGGTCAAAGTTGTACTCGTTGCAGGCAGCCAGCTGCTGCTGGTCCTTGTTCAGCACCTGGGAGAGCGCAGGGGGGGGAGGGGCGGATCAGAGAGGCAGAGGGGACCCCCCCCATCGGAGCTGGGCAGGAGACCCCACCCACCTTGTAGAAGCTGTCCATGGAGAGCAGCACCACCCAAGGCACATCCAGGGCTTCGATGATCTTGTTGGCCACCGTGGTCTTGCCCGAGGCACTTCCACCACACAAGCCTGAGAGAGAGGGAGGACCGTGAGGCAACCCATCCCCAAGATACTGGGACCCTTCAGCCGAGGGACCCACCTGCAGAGGGCAAGCCAAGAGGCTCTGGTGGCCTTGCGGGGGGGGGGGGTGATCCAAGGCCAGCTCTTCCGCGGCACAAGAGCCACATCTCAGCCCAAAGCAAGAGGGAGAGAGCTGCACCCACAGAATCAGAGAACTGTAGTGCTAGAAGGACCCCCAAGGGTCATCTAGCCCAACCCTCTGCAATGCAGGAGGCACCTTTCCCCCCCAAGGAAAGGGCATTCTGAAGTTGTCTGTGCCACTGCCAGGAAGCAATCGGGTGGCTCAGCAGGCAAAAGGGAACAAAGGGAGGGGGGAGACCCCCCAAAAGAGCTGCCCCCTCCCCCCTCCCCTGCAGGCAAATGCAGGAAGCGCTGGGTGGGGTCCCCCATCCCTCCAGCCTCTCCCCCGCCTGCACCGGGCTGCAGCCCCCCCCGTTTGTCCTCAGGCGGCCCCCAGCCCCCCTCCCCCTGCTGAAGGCGCCCCCGCAGCAGACGGCGCCCCAAAGCCCAGCAGGTGCTGCAGTTGCGGGGGCGGCCCGAAGAGCAGGCGGCCCGCTTGGGCTTGGCAGCCCCCTCCTGCCGTCTCCGTGGGCGCCGGACGCCTGGGTCCCTCCCTCGCTCACCGATGACGAAGGCCTCCTTGAAGGGGGTGCCGGTCTCGTTGTACCAGGGCGGGCGGCCGGCCGTGTAGATGGTGCGCTTGCTGGTCCGCAGCAGCGGCGGCTCCGTCTTGGACTGGCTGGTGGTCCGCTTCCGCGGCGAGAGCGACGGCGTCAGCGGCGGGCGGCACGTCAGGCTGTCCAGGGCGGGGGCTCCGCTGCGCCGGGAAGGAGGAGAAGGCGCCTCTGAGCACGGGCAGAGCGCCCTGGGCCCCTCGGGGGAAGGGGAGGCCTGCCGCCCGCCCGCCCCTCGCCCGCCTCACCTGCTGCCTCGCCGCCCTCCCGCCCGAGCCGCCTCCTCAGCCGCCATCTTGGCCGCCTCGCGCCGCTCTGCCAGCGCCGGCAGCCGCAAAGCCTGCCGGGAGGCGCGCAGGGCGACGGAGCGGACGTCATCGGCGGCGCCCGCTCTTCCTCCCTCCGCGAAACTACCATTCCCGTCAGGCACCGCGCGCGCGGAGAGAACAGAGGCGAGAAAGGGTAGAGCAGCCCTCGCGTGGACCGAATGGGGCAATTCCGGGCTCCCGTCGGGGGATCCGATTCCGACCGTGTCCTTGTCGGGGCTGGGGGGGGGAGTGTGGCCTAATGGTTAGAGTGCCGGTATTGGGTCTGGGGGGAATCAGGGTTCGAACCGCCCCCACTCGGCCGTTATTGATATTCTCTTATTGATTTAATTTGTATGCCGCCTTTCCATCAAAGATCCCAGGGCGGCTCACAACAGAAAAGCTCCTGGGCCCGTCCTCGTCTTCTCTCTCAGCCCGACCTCCCTTTGCAGGGGGGCTGCGAGGATGAAAGGAGGGCGAGGATCTGGTTGAAGAGGGTTCGAATCCCCGCTCACTGAGAGAGAGACCTGGCCATTGAAACTGGGCAGCCGGGTTATTAAAATTAATAATAATAATAATAATTCTTCACAGGGCCGTTGTAGGGATTGAGGAGAGGGGGAACCGTGTGACCACCTCCAGCTCCAAGGACATAAAAGGAAGGAAGCTGCCGAGAGAGGAGCCCCTCCCGGCGATTCCCGACCCAGGGGAGGAAGATCGGTCTCCTGCTTACACCCCCCCCCAAAAAAGTGCTCGGCGCTGGGCGAGGCTCCTTCTTCAAGGCGCGTCCAGGAAGCCTGCCTTGCATTTGACTCCTTTGTTCCTTTGTGGGGCGACGCTGCTTCCCGCCATGGAAGGAAGGCTGTCTCCGCTTCGCAGCAAGGCCTTCTTGGCGGTGGCCCCTGTCTGCTGCTCGCTCACTTCCTTGTATCTCCCGCACGACCTTCTAGTTCTGCCGGGCGCTGACGCAGAGCGATCCCCTGCTCCAAGGCTGGGGGGGGGCGCATCTGGCGGCCCTCTGGGGTGTGCGGTGCCAGAGGGCCCGCCAAACCCAGGGATCTCCTTAAACCGTCATTTGTGATCCTTATAATATAGCATATATATCTCATGTATAGTTGTTGCTGTTGTTATTATTATTTAAATGTCTTCGTGGCTTTACTTGTGGAAATGACTCAGAGCGACGCGCGGATACCACAGAAAGACTAAAACCAATTAAAACAAAACCGCATCTAGATAAATAAAAGGCAGGTGTCGTCATGTATACACGTATATTGATGCATTTGGTATGTATTATGTAGCATAACTTCATTGTACGATCATTTCTTTTCGGTTAGTTTCGGTTTTTTTCTCTGGAAGCGTGCATCATATTTAATTGAATTTCTTATCATAATGTTTCATCTTTGATCAGATGGTTTGTAATTGGATATTTTTGGTGGGGGAACAAGCCGCCTTTTGCACCAGGCATCACCCTGGACGGGGGCAGAGACCCCCCCCCTTTCTCTTTTTGGCCCTTCCTCTCTCTCCCTTCCTCTTTCGCGAGGGGGCGCGTGCTTCGTGGCCGAAGGAGGCCTTAGCCTCGCCTACCTCGCAAGGTTGTTGTGAAGGCAAAGTGTGCATACAGGAGTATATGATGAAATGATTTCTAGTGCCTTTTTCTTGGTCTGCATTTTGGTTTTACGCGTTGGCGCAGCGGAGGAGGGATATTGCCGGCTGGGAGAAATGGCAGGTTGAGGGTATGTGGCTGGGAAATCTTGCCTCAGGACAGCCCTGTAAGGTAGTCCGCTGACAGCATTGCAGTTCGGCGGTGGCTTTAGACTCTCCCGCCACAAAGAAAGCCGCCCGAAACACGGCTCCCTTTGCAGCGCATGGGCGTCTCCTTAAAGTGCCCCCCCCGCCAGCTCAGGGAAAGCTCCTCCTCGCGCGGGCCAGGAATGGGTTAAGTCGCAGGAACAAGCGAGCAGAAATAAATGGAGAATGCGATGGAGAAAGTGCAACGCTATAGGAACCTGCGCATTTTAACGTTGCTGAAATCACCAGATTGTTCAGGGTCCTGAAATAAAGAGCTCCGAAAGGACCTTTCCAAACTGAGCGAACGGGCGTTAAAAAGTCCAAAGCAATTCAGTATAAACAAGTGTAAAGTGTTGCATGTCGGAGTAAATATTTTTTTATTAATTAAATGTAATGTGCTTAATTTCACCTCTACAGAGCCTGACCTGGCGGTGGGTGGAGAGGAAGGACACTTGCTTAACAGCTGTGAAAAAGGCCAGCGCCCTGCTCGGAATCACGAGGAAAGGAGTTGGAAATCAGATATTGTGCTAACAGTGCCGTTTATACCAGTCTGTGGTGTGGACACGTTGGGGTGCTGTGGGCGGTTCTGGTCGCCTCACTTCAAAGAGGATATCGGAGACCCGGAAAAGACTCAGCAATCAAAATGTTCCAGGGGGTCACGGAGAGATTTGCCGCGTTTGGGACTTTTTGTTGTTGTTGTTTAGTCGTTTAGTCGTGTCGGCCTCTTCGTGACCCCCTGGACCAGAGCACGCCAGGCCCTCCTGTCTTCCACTGCCTCCCGCAGTTTGGTCAAACTCATGCTGGTAGCTTCGAGAACACTGTCCCAGCATCTCGTCCTCTGTCCTCCCCTTCTCCTTGCGCCCTCCATCTTTCCCAGCATCAGGGTCTTTTCCAGGGAGTCTTCTCTTCTCATGAGGTGGCCAAAGTCTTGGAGCCTGAGCTTCAGGATCTGTCCTTCCAGTGAGCACTCAGGGTCCGATTTCCTTCAGAATGGAGAGGTTGGATCTTCTTGCAGTCCATGGGACTCCCAAGAGTCTCCTCCAGCACCATAATTCAAAAGCATCCATTCTTCGGCGATCAGCCTTCTTTATGGTCCAGCTCTCACTTCCATACATCACTACTGGGAAAACCATGGCTTTAACGATACGGGCCTTTGTTGGCAAGGTGATGGGACTTTTTAGCTTAGGGAAAAGCGGTGTCAGAGGCGACATGATAGGAGTTTATCAGATCCTGCAGTGTGAGAAAGAGGAGAGAGCGGGTAGCCAGGATTTTTGTTAGGGGGAGCAGAACCGGCTTGATTGGTCAGTTAGTTAAGTATTTCTATTGTTTTACTTGCTGGGGGGGCAGATGCCCCCATGTTGGTGGGTTTGGATCTGGAGAGGAGCCCTCCGAGAGAGCGGGCGTCCGGCCAGGGACTCAAAGACCGGAGACTCGCGACTGGGACGACAGAATCACTCGATAGAGATATCTAGATATAATCGAATTTTATTGTTTTTCAGCATCAATGAAAAACTCCACACAGATACATTGGATCCCTGGATTTTCTTAATAGACAACGCTTCAGCCAAATCGTAATGGTTACTTCCCATCTGGAAATATTAATACTATCAACTCCGAAGAAAAAGGCGGAGCAGCAGCCAGGAGACTTCGGGAAGAATCTGGGCGGCAGGAGAGTCCCCTCGCTTTCGGGTTCCTGCGCCAGGTGCAGGCGGGTCCTCTTCCCACTTCCGCGGCCCACGGAGAAGCATCTCTCCCCGTCTCCTCGCATTTTGAAATCCCTCTTATTTATTTCCTAAGATTTATATACCGCTCGACTGTTTAAAGAGCCTTTTACAAAATCTGTAAAACAAAAGCAAAATGTTAATAGTGATGCGCATTGTATCAATGTAGCGAAGGGGCTTGAAGGTGAGAAGGTTTGTGTGAGATAAGGGGGGGGGGCGATTCTGAAGGGCACCAGGGACCAGCTTCCCATCCGTTGCGTCAATTTCCTCACCTTCGCAGGTAAACCTCAAGCGCATTATCCGAGGGTCCATAATCGAGACGGGGGAAAGTGTAACTGGGGGCAGCGCCAAGGAAGCACCGCACGGCCGCTCGGAGTCTCGCTCCACGGGTGTGGCACCCCCACAAAAAATAATATTGAACACCAACCGGTGTTTTCATTTGCGACAAGGACAGCTTCTCGTGGCAGAGCGGGCTCTTGGTTTAAAACATTACGGCTTCAGAAGACAAAGGCAAGGGCCGCCCTTCATCTCCACTCCGCCTCTCTCTGCCCACCGGCGGCGACCCGTCCTTCCTGCCCTGCCCCGCTCCTCCGGAATGCAGGATTGCCAGGTCTCCCCGACGGAGGGGCGGAGAGAGAGACCCCCGCCAGGGCCTCGGGACCGGTTCGCAGCCCCCCACCTTCTTTCCTTTGCGTCCTGCGGGGCGCCGCAGCGACTTTCCCCCCACCGAACTGGAAAGGAGGCTCGGAGTCCGCGGCGCCGTCTAGCAGCGCCGGGAACCCGCCTCTCGGGGCTTTCCCCCGCGGCCTTTCTTCTCCAGCAAGGCGTCCAGCCGGCCAACGGCGCCGGTGAAAAACGTCCCGCGGCGCATAGGCCTCCTTTGGGGCAAAACGCACACGGGCCCCATAAAGGAAGGCCGGGAAGGAGGCGCCTCGTTCGCCCCTCCTTGGGCAAAACCCCAGCGCCGGTTCCAATAAAAAATCCAGCCGCCCCTTTAGAAAAGTCCGCCTCCCCGCCCCGTCCCCCGAGCCCCAGGAAAGATGTCGAGAGGCGTCCTCATTTCTGCGGAGCCTCAAGATGGACGGGGAGATTTGGGGGGCTGCCGCATTGCCCCCCCCCGCCCGGGCTCTGGACTGCAGATTTCTTTTGCCCCCTCCCGGAGAGGGGCTTCAGGTGTGCAGGCATCCAAAGGACGCGCCTCCCCTGCGGTCTCCCATCCCTTCCTCCCTCCGGCTTCCTTGACGCCTCACAGAGAAAAACAAAGAAACGAAATTGGGCCGCGCAGAGGGTTTGGCCCGGGAGAAATGGATTCGGACGGGCGACCGCATTTTTCCAACCTCGGAGCCCCCTCAGGAAGAGCGGGGCGAGGCTGGCAGAGGGCAGAACAAGCTCCGTTTCCTGGGCAGGAAGAAGCGCGCCGGGGATCGAGCGAAAACGATCCAAATAGTGCCTGGATCTAGGCAGCCGCCGCCTCCTTGTCGGGTAAGATAGAAGAAAGTGGGGGAGCCTGACGGGCCCCGCCGGTCCACGGGCTGAGACTCTCTGTTGGGGGGTCATTGTGCGGGGGGGGCTGCCGGGCCCCGGATTGGGGGACCGACTTGGGCCCAAATCCGGCTGCCTCATCCCCCTGCGCTGGAGGGAGCAATCCCGGCTGCCGCCCAATGGATCTGCCGCGGGGCTCTCCTGAGATCCCTTCTCCGGCAGAAGATCGCCTATGGTCCCTGCCTGTCCCCTTGGGAGGAGAGACCCTTTTCTTTGGCCCCCCATCATCACCTCCATCACCGTTTCATTGGATTGCCATCAATATCGATCCTGCAAGGCGAAGAAAGCGCTCCGACTCAGCCCCGCGCGCCCGTCCAGGCGGAACCGGCTCGCTCCGCGCGCGGCGTCTCTCGCCGGTCTCTTCTCGCAGCTCCGCCCCGCCGACCGACGGGGTCTGCGGTCCGGCCCCGTTCTTCTTGGCTGGGCCGGGGAGACATCGCCAGCGAAGCGCCTTTCCTGGCCTCCCAGGCCGGAGCCGAGCTGCGGGCCACCCCCTCGGGCCTGGCGAGCTCTCCCCGGGTTCGACGCCCAGACACAACGGAGCGCCGAGCCAGAGGATCGCCCAGGCGCCTCCCCACCTCCGGGGATCCAGGCGAAGCAGCAGGGAGCAGCGTCTCGGGAGCCCGGCGCCATCGGGCATCTCCTGCGCTCGGCGCTGCGCCTGCCTCCTTCCCGGGCGCCACGACGGCGCGGCAGTGAAGAGGCGAGGCCGGGGCGTCGGAAGGCGCATCTTCCCGCGGCCCGCAGGGGGCGGGGCCTGTGGCAAGGGGGCGGGGCCTTCCTCCGCCTGCCCGCCCACCGGGGGTTGCCTCTGCTTGGACCTCTCGACGGCGCCGGCAGCGGCGGCTGCAGCAACAGGACGCGGAGTCTCCGGAGAGCACATGGAGAGTGCCCGGCGCGCCTCTGCCTGAGGCCGAGGCCCAGAGCGCCGCAGCCCGGGGGTTTCTCCTTTTCTGGAGGCGATGGAGCCCCCCTCGGGGGACGGCAGGGACCCCTCGGAGAGCGCTCGCCTGGTGGGCAGCCGCAGTAGCAGCAGCTCCAGCAGCGTCCGCCTCAAGAGGTAAGGGGGTCCCCGCCTCCCCACGCGCAGAAGCCCCTTCCTCTCCTCCACCGGGATCCTCCGGAGACTCCACCAGGCGCCCCCCTGACCCACTTGAAGACCCCTCTGAGATGCCCCCTGGCTGCCTTTTTCCGCACAAGCGACCTGAGGTTTTTAATCTTCCACGCTCCTGCCGAGCGAAGTGGCGTTTGGTCGCCCGCACTCCCCGGACAGCCAGGGACCCCCGCCGCCTCCTCCCCTCTCTGCCCAGTCCCCGGGGCCCCACCCGGCAGCTTCCCCGCCTTGCCTCCCCCTGCTCTGCTCGGGAATCCCCGCATTTTCTGGGGAATTTCCTGTTTGTTGGGAGGGGTCGGCCAGAGGGGGTCCCCTGTGCCGCTCCTCCATCTCCTCCTTCCTGGGCATCCTTGGATTCCTGCCCCCCCCCCCGACGGCTCATGGGGAATTCCACGGCAGTGGGACGTGAGCGGCGGGAGGGGGAGGCGCAAAAGTGGGGGGGGGCAGCGGGAATCGTGGAGGTGGGGGGGTCTCCTTCCCAGTTCCTTGCGGGGCATCTTTCGCTTCTGCCTTCGCTCTGCTGCCGGTGTCGAGCGTTTCAGTTCTTACTGGGGGGGGGGAGGCGGGGGTCCCTCTCGCCCCTCGCCCGAGGTGGGCGCTCCCTCCTCCCAGAGAGCCCCCAGGAGCCTTTCCTTGCGGCGTCTGCATTGACACCCCTCCCTCATCCGTCACGTCTGGGCTGCTGCACCAAAGGCAGGGAGTCTCAATAGAGTTAGTAGCCGGAGAACCCCTCTCTGCTCCCCCCCAAGACCCACGTCGGGGTCGCCTTGCCTGCGCAACATGCTGGAAACCTCGCAGCTCCAGGGCCCGCTCGGGGGGCAGCCAGTCAGCCAAGCCCCACTGCCCGAGGGGGAGAAACAGGCTCTCCAAACATCGCTGAGGAGGCCCGTCGGCCTTTCGCCTGTCCAGAGGGCGCCTCATGGACGGGCCGGCGGTCAGCCGCTAGTGATGGCGTTGCATCTTGGGGGGAGCAGGGCAGCTGTGGCTGGAAAGAGCCCCCCGAGGAGGGGGTGGGGGATGCCTGGCCCTCTCTGCCAGCCCACGAGGCGCTTCCTGTGCCGTCGAGCCTGCCTCCTTGGCACGCGCCAGCCTGTTTTCTGTGGCCCCATCTGCCTCCAGAAGGCTCTGCCGGGTGCCAGGGAGGGACAGCTGAGCGGTGGGCTGGCGAAATCTGCGCTGGGGGAGCGTGGCTGCCTCGTTTTCCGGGGCTTGCATTTGAGGAGAGGGGGGCGCACACATGGAGGGCAGGCTCCCCATCCCTGTGCAGACAGCCCCTAACCCAGCTCCCCCCCCCGCCCCCGCCGAGCAGCCTGGCCAAGGAAAGGCGCCTTGAAGGTCACTGAGGTCAACGGCAAGGACAGGTGCCTGGAGGCTGAGATGCTGCCTGGGGGGGGGGAGGCCGCCTCCCCTGGAATCCAGCCCAGCCTGTCTGGAGCCCTGGAAGCGTTGCGGCAACCCCTGACGAATGCCTGCCTGTCACGTTTCAGCCAACACGCTGCAGAGCTGCTATTTTGTGTGGGAATGTTGAACATCTGCCCTGCGAGGTTGGCTGCCTGTGGGAAGGGCTGGGGCGCAGGACCTTGCACTGGGGCTGCCATGGGGCTGCATGGGGAAGAACAGTTCGAGAGGGGAACTGCCCTACTTCCAAGACTGCCTTTTAACTTGTGCTGGCCTCCCATCAGCTGCTAGACCGATGCTCCTCAGGTCTCCGGCCGCATGTTCTCCTTCTCCATCCTGAGAGGAGACCTCTAGGGTGGATCTCTCAGCCTCTGAGATGCAAGAGGGAGCCGGGCTCATTGCTTCTTCTTAGTTAAAATGAGAGTTTTTCCTGTCAAGTTAGTATTTCCCACCATAAATCGAGAGTTCTTGTATCCCTAAACTCAGTGTGAGTAAATCCAGGGGAAAGTGTGAAATATCCTCCAACAGGGAAACTGAGTAAGAGGAAGTCGTGGGGGAGGGGTGACATAGCTGAACAGGACGAGGCGGATGGGGTACAAGTAAAACATTTCTACCTTCTCTCCCCTCCCTCCCCGATCTCTCTGGGTACCCCGAGCCTTTCTGTCTTTTGTGGGCGGGTGGGGCCAGTGCTTGGAGCGCGCAGGGGATGAATTCTGTTGTTAAAGATGAAATGACCACACAAACAGAAGAACAGGCCCTGCTGAGGCTGAGTCAGCAGGGCTTCCGCCGGATCTCACCAACCTATTGGTTGAGAGTGACAAGAAGCTGATAGAGGTGATCAAATTGACAAAGTGCACGTGGGATCTCAACAATATACCTCGCCCATGACTCCTGAGTAGGCTCAGCAGTCAGGGAGTAAGAGGGTATTCCTCGTGTGGATCAGGAATGGATTCAGTAGCAGGAAGCAGAGAGCAGGAACAATGGAGGGATGGAGAAAGTGGCGTCGTCCCACCCACCCCGGATCCTCTTGGGACCGGATCCTATTGGTATCCTTCGCTGAGGATACCGAATTTCTCCGGGTCCTGAAAACAAAAAGAGATTGTGAAGAGCTCTAAAAGGATTTCTCCCAACAAAGCGAGTGGGCGTTAAAATGCCAAATGCATTTCAGTGGAAACAAGTGTAAAATGATGTATGTCAGGACAAAATAAACGATGATGATTTCACACTCACACACACATTTTGGGGTCCTGGGAGAGCTCAGGGAAGACGCCAGCCCAAGGTGCTGAAAAAGGCGAGTGGGAAGACTGGGGTCCTGCTCTGGCTGCCGCCCCTCAAAAGGGATATTGCAGAGCTGGAAAAGGTTCAGAAGAGGGCAGCCCCAGTTGTCCAGGGTCTGGAGCGAGGAGAAGTTGCCGGGTTGGACTTGGAGGCAGCGGTGCTTCTGAATACCCGCTGCTCCTTCACCAGGACGGAGAGCGCTGCTTTGGGGCCCGGGGCCCGCTTGCGGGTTTCCCATCCTTCCTTTCTTACCTGGGGGGCCACTGTGAGAAGAGGGTACTGGGGTTCATGGGCCGTTGGTCTGATCCAGGCTCTTTTTATGTCTCTCCCCCCCCAATTTCTGGCCTTCGGAGGTCGTGCTTCCGTGCCCTAGGCTTCCTTTGGTCTTTTCCTGGCTGGGGGCACCCCCAAATTCGAGTGGGATGGGGGGCACCGCTCTCTCGCTCCCCATCGCTTTTTCCTCTCGAGGCCTCGACGGGATCCCCGCCCTTTCTCCCTTCCTGTTCCCCCCGCAGCCTCGACGACTCCGCCACGCACTCCTTGCGCCTCCCGGCCGAGCGAGAGAACCCCGCCACCCCGGCGCGGTTTCCTCCCTCCAAGACCGGCTGCGATGTCCTGGGGGTTGCCCCGAAGAGCAGCGGGGCGGCCCCGCCAATGGCTCCAGCCCCGGCTCTGGAGTTCCTGTCTCAGCCCAGGGTCCCGCCGAGTCGGTCTGAATTCAGCAAGGGGGGTGTCTGAGCCGCAGAAAGGAAAACACGCGCGTTCACACAAACTCGAAACACGGACACGCATGTTCTCGATGGAGTCTCTTGCTCCAGCTTGTGCGTATAGACGAGAAGGAAAAGCCTCCCCCCCCCCAATGTCTGGACTGCGTGAGCTACGCTCCCTGGATCGGGGCCCTGCTCAGAGGAGGCGCAGCGCCCCTCGACGGCTCCTTTCTCTCTCTCTCCCGCCTGCGGGAGCCAGTCTTTGCGGGGGGAGGCGGGAGAAGGAGAAAGGATTTTGCGGGGGCAAGTGATGGAGAGAAGAGCAGCAGCAGCCGTCCGTGGGTGGGAGGGGGCGGAGGGACCACGTGATACTGCTCTGCAGGGGGGGGGGAGCCGCTTGGGAGGCTCCCAGGCGTGAGATAATCGAGGAGAGAAAGGCCTGCAAACTCGGGGGACGGACGGGACGGACGGACACGAATGGAGGATAATTCTTCCTGAGTTTTTCATGGCAGCCATTCCATATCCACCAACATAGGGACATCTAATAATAATAATAATAATAATAATAATAATAATCCCTGCCCGTCTGACTGGGTTGCCCCAGCCATTCTGGGTGGATTCCAACATATGTAAAAACATAGTAAACATAACTAAACATTAAAAAAACCACAACTTTATAGTTACTTCTCCCCTTGGCTTTGGGGCAGCAGAACTCAATTTCTCCATTTCTCCACATTTCTCTGATGAAAACAGGGATGTCCTAAGGGAAAGTAAGACATTCCAGAATCAAATCAGAAACCGGGACAGCTTGTGTAAATCTAGGACTGTTCCTGGGAAACAGGGGCGAGCAAAGGGAACTCCCTTGATGCAGCAGACAGAAAGTCATCAGGTGCAGTGGGAGAAATGGACGCTGTACCAGTCAGGTTTGTGTCGGGCGTGCGCACCCACCCACTGAACTGAACGCCCTCGGCCTGAACCCCCCCCCGGGGGGCCCTTGAGATATTTCAAAGGACGACTCCAGTGCAGGTTTCCATGCCATCCAGAAGAGGGGGAGATTCTCCGCCGCCCGGCCGGCCATGGCTTCTCTACCCTGAGACCTGTTGCTAACAGATCAGCACTTCTGACCTTCCTCTTTTTAGTCTCCCTATTTGGAGAAAAGCAGGTTTTCATAAGAATATGGCCCAGCCGATTCTCTCCCATGCCAGAATTCTGGCCTCTGGGTTTCTGGGCTGCCTCCTCCTTCCTGCAAGCCCAGCGCCCGCGAGCTCGGCTCCTGGGCCCAGCTGCCTCCCCGAATGGGTCCTTCTGGCAGCAAGGCAGCCACCGTGGCCAAACCTGTCTAGGGGCATCACAGTTCTCCAGCTCCTGCCAGGCGGAAGATGATTAAATCTCCCCGCAGCCCCAGGAGACGCGCCACAGTCGCGGAGCCGGCTCGGCTATTCATTCCCTCCCCAGCGAGGCTCTTGGGAGCACTTGACACGCATCTGTCTGGTCAGGCCAGGCGCTGACAAAAGACCTCGCCTTGCTCCAGGGGGGTGTGAGGGGCATGGCAGGGGCGGCCAAAGCCAGAAGAGGAGCATTCTTCGGCAAGAAAGCGCCCTTCATTCAGGGCTTGGTATTGACCTGCGTGGCGTCCCTGTGCAGCCTGGAATGCGCCCAGGATCCCCTGGGTGGATTAAAACAGAGACCTTGACAGATCAAGATGCATTTGCTTCCTTAGGAGACCAGCACTGGCATTTGGGTGTCTCTTTTACATCCCTTTCCTAATGACTCTGCATTGCAATGCAGGAATCACAGCTAGAGAATCTCAGGCAGATGGCCCTTCAAGGAAGGAGAGTCCACCACTTTCTGATATCATTGTTGTTGTTGTTTAGTCGTTTAGTCGTGTCCGCCTCTTCGTGACCCCATGGACCAGAGCACGCCAGGCACTTCTGTCTTCCACTGCCTCCCGCAGTTCGGTCAAACTCATGCTGGTAGCTTCGAGAACACTGTCCCACCATCTCATCCTCTGTCATCCCCTTCTCCTTGCGCCCTCCATCTTTCCCAGCATCAGCGTCTTTTCCAGGGAGTCTTCTCTTCTCATGAGGTGGCCAAAGTCTTGGAGCCTCAGCTTCACGATCTGTCCTTCCAGTGAGCACTCAGGGCTGATTTCCTTCAGAATGGAGAGGTTTGATCTTCTTGCAGTCCATGGGACTCTCCAGAGTCTCCTCCAGCACCAGAATTAAAAAGCATTCATTCTTTGGCGATCAGCCTTCTTTATGGTCCAGCTCTCACTTCCATACATCACGACTGGGAAAACCAGGGCTTTATCATAGGATATCATAGGATCATAGAATTGTATAGTTTGACAGGTCATCTAGTCCAATCAGTTGCAATGCAAGAATCACAGCAAAAGACTCCCTGACCGGCAGCCAAGAAGGGAGAGTCCACCGCCTTCCAAGCCCTCGTCAAACAGCTCTGACCGTTAGAAAGTTCTTCCTACTGTTCAGTCGGAAATGGCTTTCTTGAAATTGGACTCCCTTGACATGGGCTGTCCCTTCCAGAGCAGGAGAAAACAAACTCTCTCCATCTTTAGATATCTGAAGATGGCTCAGGTCACCTCCTAGCCTCCTCTTTCCCCAGCTAAACATACCCAACTCTACACTGCTATTCATTTTTATCCTGAATCTGCAAAATTACTTCTAAATCCTTTGCTTTAGTTTGTGGGTAGACACCCAGTCTGTGATTTGTTCTGGTTCGTGTCGGGTGTTTGTTCCCATTTGTTTCATATTTTATTGGGTTGTATGCTTTACATAAAAATTAAATATGTTAAATGGGGGGGGGGAGTGACTCTACAAGGCAGCCGTGGGTGGCATGAGGAAGGAGGGGGCTAATTCTCTGCGTGCGTATTCTGTGGGGGTTGAGCAGGACTGAGGGGCTGCCCCTCCCTCATGTTCCGGCCTTCTCCCAGTCTGTTTGCAGGCACCCAGGAGGCCTTCCCCAGCCTCCCCCTGGAGAACGGGCATGCAGAAGTGCCCGGGGGCCTGGAGATGGAGCACCGCCTGGCCCCCCACTGCCACCAGGGGCCCTGCTCCCCCAGCCAGAGCCAGCTGAAGCTCCAGGCTCAGAGGAAGCTCAGCATCGCCTGCGGGGTCTGCTTCCTCTTCATGATCGGAGAGGTCATAGGTCAGTGGGGCTGGGAAGCGGTTCTGGGAGGGAGGTTCATGGATCACCAAGCCAGTGGCAGGCACCTCCATTGACCTGAGAGAGGCTCAGAGCCACAGAAAAGCTCTCTGGGTTGCCAGGGGGGGGGTTCTCTTCTTTCTTCAAGGAACAAGGACGACACACCTGTTGGGTGGGAGCGCAGATGGCCACCTGCTTTTCTCCTTCCAGGTGGATGGGGTCATCTGAGAGACAAAGGACCAGGCACCCACGGAGCTTCCTCTGGGATATTATTGCAGTCAAGCCAACAAGTCATGTTTTGCCAGATGGGCACGTGAAGGGGCTGAGGCTCACAGAGCTTTTCCCGTAAAATTTGCTAGAGAGAACTCTGTGAGATCACTTCCCTTGTCTGTCTTGGCATGCTTCTTTCCTGCCTGGGGAGCCCTCTCTTTCTTCAAGCTGACCACACACACACACACCATTTTTTAATTTACATTTTATACTTGTGTAACTTAGATAGTAGTTATAAACCTGCCTTCATTTTGCTACTGTAATGGCTGCCTCAAGACTTAGATTATGTAAGTAAATACTACTTTTACTTCTTCACAAAACAATGTTGGTGTGATTGTTGTTTTTCAGGGGGTAAGACCAGGAAAATCGAGCCTGTCTTAAAGCATCCTGGATTATTGTTTCTAGAAATCAAACCTGCCTTAGCTTCCATGTTCAAAGCTGCAAAGGGTGGTACTCTGCTGATCTCACTCATGTGAGCAAAGAAGAAAAATAACTAAAAATATATATACCCTCTCCTGGTGCCTGAAGCCACTTTGTGGTTGAGAGAGGATGTATCAATTTTCATTTGATTCACATTTATGTTATCTGTTTTGCAGTTCTTTGCTGACTTTCCAAGGTCTCTTTCAAGGTGTTCATTAAGACAATGAGCAGGAATCAGTTGACAGCAAAGCGATTGACATGGCAAAAAAACCCTCAAAGGGCAGAGAAGATAAATCATGGAAGCAGCACTAGACTCAGCTCATCCTTACAAAGACCCAGGAAGTCTGCCTGAGAGGGGCTGAGAGGGTATCCTGGTTAGAGCCAGGGCCTCCCCCCCCCCCAGGCCTTCACCCCTCCCTCCACAACACAGCTCTGCTTGCCTTTCAGGTGGGTACTTGGCTCACAGCCTGGCCATCATGACAGACGCAGCCCACCTGCTGACAGACATGGGCAGCATGGGTGTCAGCCTCTTCTCCCTCTGGGTCTCCACCCGCCCGGCCACCAAGATCATGAGCTTCGGCTGGCACCGCTCAGGTACCTCCAGATCCTCCACCTGGTTCCCACCTCGCCATGGGCATGAGGGGGCTCTCCCAAGGGGCAGCCGAGGGTCACTGCTGCTGCTTCTGCCTCACCCGCTTCTCCCACTGCCCCTTCGCCACCACAGACTTCAGCCCAAGAGGCCACCTGGTGGCTCTCAGCAATTGCACTGTGTCCCAGGAAAAGCAGGAAAGGCTTCATCAGGCAGTGCGGAAAGGAAGCCTTGGAGGGCCTGCCAAGCCGACTGGCCTCTGGGTGCCCCATTTGGGGTGCGGCGGCAGCAGCAGCAGCGAGATGCTTCTCCCATTACAGTTCAAAGGCTGCTGGGGGGGGTGTCTCCCTCCCTCCCTCCTTCCCTTCTTGCTTCCCTCTGAAGTGGTGGCAGAACAGAGCGAGGCAGCCAAGGAGCCAGAGAGGCTCACAAATTGTTCCCTGAAAAAGGCAGAAGGCAAATGGGTGGAGGATGAAAGAGAAGAAATGGATTAAAATGGCCTCTTCAGCACTTGAAAGAGATCAAAAGGCTTTTTTGATGGCTTCCCCACAAAGTGAAAGACCCCCAGACTCTCCAAGGGGCCTTCCCTGCTCCCAGGGCTTGACTTGGCTGCCCCATAGCCTTTTTGCACCTCTTCTCTGATCCTGCTGGGGGGGGTCCATTTCCCCTCCTGCCCCCCACCCATCTTCTTTCTCCCTGCTGCCCATTTTGTGGGGAGCTGAAAGATCTCCCTGCAGGAGTCAATCCTGTCCTATTCCGGCTGCAGGGAACCCTCCAGGCGTTGCCAAACTACGAATCCCACCCACCTCTGGCTACCAGCCCTGCTTGCTGGGGCTGATGGGAGTTGTAGTTCAGGAACACCTGTTGGGCCAAAGGTTCCCCACCCTGCTCTTTATTCAACAGACCTCGGAGTGGTGTTTCAGCTTCCTGCCAACCTCATGAGGTAGGCTAGGGTGAGAATGGGAGGTGGGCTAAGTCATGAACCTGGCAGCAGCAGGTCTCCCTGGCCCAATGCCAGCCTTCTTGTCCTCTCGGGACAGGGCAAAGGACTCCTCTGGGAACTGGCCTTGGGGACAAGCAGGCAGGTCTGAGAGACCCAGGAACATCTCCCAACCTGTGATCCAGGTTCGGGTTCCAGGCAGCCTCAGGGAAAAGGCCCAGAGCTGGCCTTGGTGCTCCCCAACTTGGAGGGAGGGCACAGGGCTACTTTGGCAAGGCACCCCTGACTGGCATCTCCCTCTCTCCCCCCAACTCCCTCCCCTCCAGAGACGCTGGGTGCCTTGGCCTCGGTCCTCTCCATCTGGATCGTCACGGGAGTGCTGGTCTACCTGGCCTCGGCCCGCATCATCAGCAACGACTACGAGATCGAAGCCTCTGCCATGCTGGGCACCTCGGCCTGCGCTGTGGGCGTGAACATCATGTGAGGCCTGGCGCGGGGCATTGAGGGAGGCGGAGGGCAGATTCTCAGGCACAACACACTCCCATTGTCAGGGGCTGCCTCTGGTCAGTTCATTTAATTATAGCCCAAGCCCACACCATGCAGGAATCACAGCTAAGGAATCCCTGCCAGGTAGCCAGCCAACCGCTGCTCACAAACCTCCATAGTATCACAGATTGGGAGAGTTGGAAGGGACCCCAGGGGTCATCTAGTCCAGCCCCCTGCAATGCAGGAATCGCCGCTAAAGCATCCCTGACAGATGGCCATCCAACCTCTGCTTAGACACCTCCAAGGAAGGAGAGCCCACAACCCCCCGAAGGAGACCATTCCACTGTAGAACAGCTCTTACTGTCAGAAAGTTCTTCCTGATGTTGATTTGGAATCTCCATTCTTGTCACTTGAAGCCTTGGGTTCGAGTCCTCCCCTCCGGAGCAGGGGGAAACAGGCTCGCTCCGTTGTCCACATGGCAGCCCTTAAGATCTTTGCAGAAGGCAGCATTCTGCCCACAAGCAGGGCCCAAGAGCTGTGGTGGGCAAGAGGCTGCTGAGGTGGACGGCATACCCTCCAACATTTCTCTGATGAAAATAGGGACGTCCCATTCCATAATGATCATTTTAGTATTTGTACGCCACACATCTGACTGGGTTGCCCCAGCCACTCTGGGCAGCTTCCAACATATATAAAATCATAATAGAACATTAACCATTAAAAAGACCCTTCCCTGTACAGGATTGCCTTCAGACGGCTTGGGGGTCAGATAATGGAATGGAAATAGGGATCCTAAGGAAAAGTGAGCCATTCCAGGATCAACTCAGAAACCAGGACGGCTTCTCTAAATCAGGAATGTCCCTGAAAAACACTTGGAGGTTCTGGGAGGGGACCCCAATGGCTGCCTTGCCCTGGGAGGGGAAGGGTGTGGCCCCACCCCAAAGCCTCGGCTCATAGCTCTTGCCACCCCTCTCTGCAGCATGGCCTACCTTCTGCACCAGTCGGGCTCCCCCCACAGCCACGGGGTGAGCACGGGGGGCTACGAGCGGATTGGGGAGAGCCCCTGCGGTGCGCCTGCGGTGCCCACCCACAGCAACACCAGCGTCCGAGCCGCCTTTGTGCACGTGGTGGGGGATCTGCTCCAGAGCATCGGGGTCTTCGTGGCTGCAACCGTCATCTACTTCAAGGTAGGGGGACCAGGCATCCTGCTCTGGATAGGGACCCAGAGCCTCCCTCCTTGAAGCGCTGTCTTGTTCCCATGGATTCATAGAATGGTAGAGTAGGAAGGGACATCCGAGGGTCATCTAGTCCAACCCCCTGCAATGCAGGAATCACAGCTGAAGAGATTTCCCCTTTTTTGCATTGACCATTAAGAGGGACAGTGCATCAAATACAAACGATGCAGTAGATCAGTTTAAATTGCCAAATTAGAAAAGCAGCACAAATTAAGAATCAGAGCACCATGGGGGTTCTTATTTAAATATTTCTTGGTCCTGGCAAATGGTGGTGGAGCCAACCCTTAACGTACACCCTGCCAACTCCCCAGGAGGCCTGTCTGCGGCCCAAGAGGTCCTCTTCCCCCTGAATGTCCAGGCAAACCTGCTCCCCTGCAGCTTCCACTCGCTGGGTCCAATTCCCCCTGCTGGAACCACAGAGAGCGAGGCAGATGCATCTCTGACGCCAGAGATCTTGGAAGGCTAGTCCCCCTCCCCTTATTAGACTTAATTAACAAAATGTACATACCAAAGCAACTATCGGGTTGGATCCAAAGTAGCGCTGAGGAGCGTGTCACATCCGTGCAAGGATTTCTGCCTGGGGAATGGGGCTGCCCCCTAAATCTGTCCTAGGGGTCCTCTGCGTCAGTGCAGGGATCTTGTCTGTGTCTATCCCTGCCTCTCCTCCTCCTCCTCTGCTTTGCAGCCCCAGTACAAGATTGCAGACCCCATCAGCACTTTCCTCTTCTCGGTCTTTGTGGTGGGCTCCACTGTGACCATCCTCCGCGACGTCTTCCGGGTGCTCATGGAAGGTGAGTTCCAACCCCGACCCTCTCGGGTCAAACGAGGCCACCTCGTTAACCGGCTAAGGGAAGTCTGAGGAATAAAATCCTGGCGCAATTCCAGCCGGACCTCCTTGTCCCTTCCCTGCCCCAGGCCTGGGGATGCTCAGGGCACTGGTTGCAAAGCCAACATCAGAGGGGGCCCAAGACCACCCAAAAGCCAGCAGGGAAGCAGGAGGGGCAGGAAGGGGCTGGGGAAAGGCATAGGGGAAGAGGCAGGGGCCAAGTCCCTCTGCAAGTGACTGGCTCAGCCTTGGCACGAGGCACCTTTAGACTCCAGGCGTAAAGGCAAATCGCCCAGGGAGCATCCGTCTCCAAGATTCTGCAACAGGAGACTCACACAGCCAAGGCTGGCACTGGGGCAGCTCACCTGACCCTCTGGGTATGGCTGAACTCCAACTTCCATCAGCCCAGCCAGTCAGGGATGATGGGAGTTGTATTCCAGCAACCTCCAGAGGGCACTGCTTGCCAAGCCCTGAGTCATCCTGCTGCTGATCTGCCATGGATGCCGGGCTGCATCTTCCAAGATGTCCCTCCAAGAAGGCCTTGCGGCACATCCTCCACTCCAAACAGGTGTGCTCCTGGTCAGGGTTCCTGATGGACAGCCTTGCTCAGGGGCAGATCTGCTGTGAAACTAAGGAGCTTCAGGGCCCCTCGTCCCAGAGGAGCCCCAGAAGTGACTTGAGTCCACATGGCTTCAAAACATTGGGTCTTGTAGACACAATTGGATTCACATAATTTGATTACTTTTTGTTGCATGCATTTCAACAATTCCAAAGAGTCAGTAGCACCGATCTTTCAAAGGTGGGGTGATCAGTTGTGGAACAGACCCACTGAAGAGGATAGGGGCTACCCAGACCTTGTTGCTGGTTGCAAAGGGGTCCCCAGGACAGTTTGAGCTTCAGGGCCCCCCAAAATGTTGGTCCACCACTGGTCTGGAGCCTGCAACTGGCAGCCCAGCTTACCTCTCCTGGCACCCGCTGTAGCGTTCCCAAAGCAAGGAAGGATTGGACTCTGATTAATAAAATACACACGAGGCTTGACCAGCAAGACTCTGGGAGGAAGTGCCAATAATAATCCGTCCACCCCTCAGCCCAGGTCGTTTTATTCACAAAGAACTTTTTACACAGTGTTCGTAAGAACCAATCAGGTTTCCTCTGAGCATTTCAGATTTCCTCTGAGCACGTGGGGACAAAGTTAAAGTTAAAACTACAAAGAGCTAATTTGAGCATGTATATGTAGTTCAGAGTAAATAAAATAGGAAACAAGGAGGAATGCTTTTAGGAAACTCCGGAGGTCATAATCAGGAGAGGAAGGATGGCAGTATTTACCATCTCCTTGTGAACTCTCTTCCTGGCCCTTAAGATCCACCTAAAGATTCACAAACTACATCAAAGTAACCTACTATCTTTATGTACTGAGGATGCCTGATGAAGCAACTGGCCTGTGTTTTAGAAGGCTTATAGGTGCCTGTCAGGCGTAGAGAAAGCAAATGGCAGAGGTGCAGAGGCCTGTGAGATTCAATCAGAAACTATTGTCAAGGACTCGAACCCAGTCAACGCAATGCCTTCATCGAGGACACAATGGCTTGCTCCATTTTTCATAATTCCTCATAGCAATCCCACCTGACCCCCGCACTCTGGATATTTGCACCCCTACACCCGCCTTGTCTGCCAGTGGCCGCATGGCATAGCATGGGTTGCCAGAGCCCAGGGTTTTGCGTTGTCTAGAGAGCTCACTTCCTGGTTCACATGGAGAAGCCGTCTTCATCTGAGTCCACTTGTGGAAGCCCATGGCTGTTTTAAGGCTGCATTGGGTGTTGAAATTTTTCACTCCCTAACCATTTTTTGCCCGGGGCAACTGGCCTGGTGACCCCGCACCCCACTACACTACTGAGTGACCATCTCCAGCAGGAGGTGCCCCTCCCTTGCTCTGCTCCAAGGTATGCCAGTCAGGAAGGGAGATGGCACCACATCTGCTCCTCCGAGGGTGGGAGCTGGGGGTTTGGAGGGACCCCGGGCAAGTCTGTTACCACCCTGCCTGCCTCTCTTCCAGGGTCTCCGCGGGGCGTGGAGTTCAAAGCCGTGAAGGAAGTGCTGCTGTCCGTCAAGGGCGTGAAGGGGGCTCACAACCTCCACCTCTGGGCCTTGACCCTCAGCCATCACGTGGTGGCTGTGCACCTAGCAATTGGTGAGCAATCCCACCCCACCCTGGCTCTGAGTGCCTGGGACCCCCTGAGGAAATCCAGCAGCCCCCGAGAGGGCAAAAGCCCCAGGCGATGGGGGAGGGGACTGTACCACCTCCGACTGCATTTCAGGATGCTACCCTGAGTTTAAAATGCCTCAAAAGCAAAACACATCTATCCAGGACAAAAATCCATTGGTATCGCTGGGAATGTTATCTATTCACTTACAGGCATTTCATAAGCTACTTGATATTTTAAAAACTCAGAGTGGTGCACCACTTTAAAAAGTTTCATTAAAAGAAAAATGCAACATGGAACCAGTAAAACAGCAGCATAAAATCAGGAATCTGGGGAACTGACATAAACAAATAACAGGGCCCAATCTTATGGATCAGGAAAAGCCTAGGGGGGTGGGGAGGATGTCTTTAGAAGACCTCTACAGCAAAGGGCATCCCATAATACAGGGGCAATGGTGAAAAATGCCTGTTTTCAGGTCACCCCCCTATGATGTTCGGTAGGGTGTGATAGGAGTACAATTCCCCCAGGTGATGGAAGTGAGCTTAGCAGGTCTCTAAGGGGGCAGCTGGCCTTTTGGGAGACAAGAGTTGCTTTAAAAGTGAGCAATACCCGCCCCCCCCAGGCTCCTGCCCCTCCCTTTAGAGAGGATCAGACCCATCCATGGAGGAGAGGGCTAGCAATGGCTGCAGCCACAATGGCTATGCTGTCTCCGCAGTTGGACACCAGGGCTGGAAACCGCAGGAGAGGAGTTGCTCTTGTGCTCAGATCCTGTTTGCTAGTTTCCCCTGATGGGCGCCTGGTTGGTCACTGTGGGAACAGGAGGCTGGGCCACTGGCCTGATCCAGCAAGCTCTTCTTTCGTTCTCATGGAGCCTCCAGGTGCAGAGGCAGTCTATCTCGATTCCCAGGTTGATAGAGGCATTTGGCTGGTTCATAGAGGATGCTGGGATAGATGATCCTGCAAACTCTTCTGTGGCCAAGCTACCCAGCACTGCTTCTGGGTCTCAGAGAAGAGTCCCTTCCCTGCAGCTCTTGCTGTGGACAGGACCTGGGACTTCCTGCCTCTCCTTGGGTGTGGAGGGCAGGCAGAGGCTGGTGCAGCCTTTGCCCAGCTGACCCCTTTCTGGGTCTCTCCCCCTTGCAGACTCTGGTGCCGACATGGAGGCGGTGCTGCAAGAGGCCACCGCCGTCCTGCAGAGCAAGTTTGGCTTCGTCTCCTGCACCATCCAGGTGGAGCGCTACCTGGACGACATGGCCAGCTGCCGCCAGTGCCAGGACCCGCAGGACTGAGCCCAGCGCCGCCCCCTTGGTGCCCTCCAACTGCCAACCTCAGCCGGGAGGCGCTGGGAATCCCGGGGCCAGCAGGGGTGGCGGGGGGTGTGCGTCTCCTCTGGCCACCTCCACCGCCAGGGCCGCCTCAGCTGCCCAGCCAGAGGAGAGGAGGCTGAGCCCCTGCCCCTGCGCATCCTGTTCTTCTTCGTGTCACATTCCAGGCAGGCACGGGGGCCCCTCTGCTACTGCCCACCCCATTGCCTGCCTCAGTGTCTTTGGTGTGCAATGCAACCCAGCCCCCCAGGCGAGGCCTGCCATTCCTCGGTGTTTGCACGAGTGTGTTCCCTTTCCAGCAAGCTCCCTGCCGTGGAGTCGAGTCTGCAAGGCAGCCTATGAGTTTAAACAGCTGTACAGAATTGGGAGGGTCCCCCCCCCCCGGTCATCCAGTCCAACGCCCTGCAGTGCAGGAATCCCAACTGAAGCAGCCATGACAGACAAGGGCAGATCTGGCCAGGTCTGGCCAGGAGGTCAAAAAGGA